GCACTGGTCAATATTGGAGGCACTCCATGCTAGACCATTCTGCACTGGTCAATATTGGAGGCAGTCTATGCTAGCCATTCTGCACTAGTCAATATTGGAGGCATTCCATGCTAGACCTTTCTGCACTGGTTAATATTAGGGGACTACATGCTAGCCATTCTGCACTGGTCAATATTGGAGGCATTCCATGCTAGACCATTCTGCACCGGTCAATATTGGAGGCATTCCATGCTAGACCATTCTGCACTGGTCAATATTGGAGGCACTCCATGCCAGACCATTCTGCACTGGTCAATGTTGGAGGCACTCCATGCTAGACCATTCTGCACTGGTCAATATTGGAGGCACTCCATGCTAGTCCATAGTGAAGGGCACTCTATTCCAGACCATTTTGAACTGGTACATGTTGGAGGTCCTCCACACTAGACTATTCAATTCTAGACCAAATAATGTCCCACAATGAAGTTATCAGCACAATGTGTCAAAAATAGATGGTCTCTATACATTAAACAGAACTATGAAAGAAAGTGGTAGTTGGTAATCATAGTCTTTATGAGTTATGTGTATTGTTGTAAAAGTAATAATAGACCATGTTATTAAATATTAAAATATTATTTTTCCTGTTACTTACTCATTTAGCAGATATTCAAATCTCTGTGTATTGTCAGGTAAAGGTACAAGCACTAAAACACGTTGACTGTTGGTTACAAACCAGAAGTTCTTGAGTCGTTCTTTAAGCTTTTGGTCATTGTGTGTTGTATCTAACACAAGCCACCGCTCCTCTACAATATAAAATTCTATAATTTAGAAAGTTTAATGGTGAAATGTACATCAAAGTGTGATGTAATCTGGAAAAGGAACATATTTCAAAGGATTAAGCTAAATTCAATTTTGTATCATCATCTGTATGAATTTAATGTTTCCATACATTGTCCTGGATTTGTATTACCTGTATTTATTTTCTGTTGAGCAGGGTGTGTTATTTTCTAAACATCTGCTGTTTGCCTTGTGGTATTTATATTTTGAGCCCATTGACATTTTCAGTCATTCAATTTGTATACTTGTTTTGTTTTAATTCACTTGATAAATTTTAGAAATTCCCTTTATGAGTTGTCAATTTAGATAAACACAAATCACCTGCTGAATGCTGTCAAGGATAACCAAAATGAATTGCGTAAAAATAGCATCAGCAGTTGATGTGTTAAGTATGTATGCCACTATTTCTAATTCATCTTCTTTGATTGCTTACTATATGAACTTCCAATGTATTTGAGTCCATGTCGTTTTCTTGTTTCACTTCGTCCACCTTCACATACTAGTAGATATTTACATGTGTGTTTTTCCACTGTATCATCTTCAACTTTTCTAACTTGCACTTCAACTTGATTCTCGTTAACGTGTTGATCATTGACAATCTGACACAAGACATATAAGATTAACATGGTGTTAGCTTTCATAGAAAAGCAAATACGAACCATGCAAATGTTGTTACACTGTAACCTTGATATAACAAACACCTTTATAATAAATTTCTTGATATAATGACCACATTGCATCTCTCCTGCTCATAACAAACCCAATGTATTAAGTGCTTCATTATAGAGAACACTTCACTATAACAAACCCAATGTATTATGTGCTTCATTATAGTGTACACTTCACTATAACAAACCCAATGTATTATGTGCTTCATTATAGTGAACACTTCACTATAACAAACCCAATGTATTATGTGATTCATTATAGTGAACACTTCACAATAACAAACCCAAAGTATTACGTGTTTCATTATAGTGAACACTTCACTATAACAAACCCAATGTATTATGTGCTTCATTATAGTGAACACTTCACTATAACAAACCCAATGTATTATGTACTTCATTATAGTGAACTCTTCACTATAACAAACCCAATGTATTATGTGTGATTCATTATAGTGAACACTTCACTATAACAAATCCAATGTATTATGTGCTTCATTATAGTGAACACTTCACTATAACAAACCCAATGTATTAAGTGCTTCCTTTTAGTGAACACTTCACTATAACAAATCCAATGTAATAAGTGCTTCATTATAGTGAACAATTCACTATAACAAACCCAATGTATTAAGTGCTTCATTATAGTGAACACTTCACTATAAGAAACCCAAAGTATTATGTGCTTCATTATAGAGAACACTTCACTATAACAAACCCAACGTATTATGTGCTTCATTATAGTGAACACTTCACTACAACAAACTAATGCTTAACCATGTAATATAACCATGTTGCATGATTAACCCACATGTTAACAGCAAAACATTTACCAAGGTCACATACTTAGGTTCACATGCTTAATACACAGTTCAAAAACAGTAAATGATTTGGTGGGAATTTGAGATATCTAGTTGTCTGCAAGCATATAATTAATATGTAAACATATAGCATGAATTTCCATGTCCATGCTTAGCTCATTTGATATTCTGTGCTCCTCACATGTTAGTGACACGCTAAGCAACCATGAATAGCTATTCATCATGGTTCAAATTATATTAGAAACAACAGACTACCAAATGGTATATCCATCCCATAATACTATACATACCTCATGACCCAAGAATACTTTTACATTAGGGCACTCTTTAATATGTTCTCTGAGTCTTCTCTCCACCAATGGCTGGTTGAAAAAAGATAATCTTTGATAACCATATTGCTTTCGATCTTCCTCTGTGATTCTTTTATTTTCACTTGTTCCATTGACCAAGATGGTGCCTCTCGGGGGCGCATCAGTGGTTATCCCAATACCTGTCTTTATAACATGATTGTCCAACCAAGTATCCAGATCAAACTGAAAGACAATTAAAAGTAACAACATTTATTATTATACATCTGTCACCGTAATTTTGTATTTTCGGCATTCCCATGATGTTTCTTCGGAAGGAAAAAATGTATAATACTAAGGTTATTATGAGGATACCTCAAAGTATGCACTCATGCAGTACATTGTCACATTGACATTCGCTGTGTCGGTTGATACTCCCATTGTACTGTCTTTGTGCATACTTTGAGGTATCCTCATAATAACTTCATAGTATACCTGGATGTTTTTAATATTCCAAAAAATAATTGGCACATGTTTTAATAATGAAATAATAAATTGTGGCTTCTTATGAAGACTCTATCATGGAAATTACCGATTGTGTAGTATGATTATAAATGACTACTTATACATGTTGCATAGCACTTTGTGACAAATGTATTGCAATAGCTCATTTATTTTATAAATATATGTACGGATAATGTACATGTTTAATTGGGTCTATCCCCAGGTACTTGGTCCAAGACAAGGTTCCAAGGTATGCAGGTACGTGCCCAACTGCATGACATGATTTGGTCTAGAATTTAGACTTTACTATTGTTTTTTTGTCAATAATATCCCAAATTTATAATCGAATTGCACCAGGAACCAAAACTTGGGTGACACAATTGGTCAAGAAATGGGCATATAATTTCAATTCTAGATGCAACACCCATTTTTCCGGTGAAAATCTCCCCTTTCTGATGATACCTGTTAAAATTTTGTTGATTTACTTATGAATATTAATAACAATTGATGTACTACTTTGTAATACCATATTTACTATATTAAAAGCACATTTACAATAGAAGTGAATATATCATTCGGTAAAACAAAAAATGACATTTGTCGTTATTTTGACCATAATGACAGCTTTGTAATTTTTGTAAGCATATGCGCTACTATTGTATACATAAAGATGAATTTGTTGAAACAGATATGTACAACACATAATTTCATTGACCTGATTTAGGTTTGAATGAATGAAAAAATAAACACAGATACCATACTGGCTCTATTGAGAATGCATCTCTAATGTGAGCTCTGCGATTTGAAGTACACCATTTCAATTATTAAAATAGAACAAATATGGCATGTCAAAACTTGTCAATTTTCAAGCCCTAGCATTAAATAAATCAATTTTCATTGACGTTTGTTGGTGTTCTGCTTCGCCTGTCAGGTTGGTTCAATTTATTTTTCTCATCGTCATGATTCCATGTGATCCAACATTATGATGGGAGTGTTAATTTATATTATTTACTAAATCACTTACCATACCAAATATTCTGGTACACTCAGAATCAATTGCGACTGCCCTGAAAAACACACACATAAACACTATATGCGGGTATTACCATAGACTGCTTTAATTTCATAATAAAATAGGCAGTCAAAAAACATTTCATATTGCAAAGAAGAACTTGATTGGCCCAGGTATGAGGTACATCATGTATGAGATATGGCTCTGTGTAATGGCATTTGTTTAAACAAGATGACCACCAGTCAGTAATTTTTTTATTTTCATGGTGAGAAAAATGCACATGTGTTTGTTCAATATGGTGTCTAATGTATGTGTGAAGTTTGAACTTGATCTATCTTGGCATGTCAGATATACATTTTGTATGAAACCAGAACTACATACTTTAAAACAAAATGGCCACCAGTCGGCCATTTTTAACCCAATCTGAAAAATGAAGTGACATGCATCAAGATTCCATTATGTACAATGTATGTACCAAGTTTGAACAAAATCTGACCATACATGACTGAGATACGGTTCTGGAATGGTGTGAAAAGTGATTATGATACATTTTTAAAATGATAAATAGTAACTTAGTAAGCAGTTACTATGAGTTTTACAGTTATTTCTCAGTATTATTCTGTTACATATAGTATATGTAACTACCTTTTGTAATAGCATTTTTTTTGTAGTTTTTTTTTATTACAGTAAGTGACAACAGAACAATAGAAGAACAAGAAACAGAGAATGCTTTTCTGAAATTTTTTTACCTTGGTCCAAGGTTATATACATCCCAATCCCTTTCAAATACTTTGACACTTAGACCATATCTACCCAACAGATTAGCAGTAATCACACCAACAGGACCATAGCCACTGATAATAACATCACAGACTTCATCAGTCATAATCATTAATAAGTTGAGTGTAGCTGCAATGATAAAATTGAAGAGTCAGGTCAAGTACATTGGTATGAAATAAAGGTTTGAAAAAGATGCCAAATGACAAATAGACTAACATATAAAAAACAAGTCCTTGAAAATGACACAGTCCCTGTTAAATTTTTGAAAGTTCTCTTTGTGCTCGTCATATTAAAGTGGAGGGGTTGTCGCGAGTGTGTCCTTGAAACTTGAGTCCCAAGTGGCGTATACAACAAATTGTTTATTTACATCATTCAAACATGTGTTGCGTGACAACCCCTCCGATTTAAGACATAGCAAAGATAAAACATCACAAGATCACAAGTAAAAGCATGTCCAAGTTATCAAATTTTAAACAAATAAGAGGGCCGCCAGTCAGCCATATTTGATCAAATTGCAAATTGAATTGACATGTACATGTATCCATTTATGACATACTAAATATCAATGAAAATGAGATATAGTAGAAAATAGAGATATAGTAATGTGGCCAAAAATAAAAACAGCCGTTATTCGGGCATCTTTGATCTGATTATGAAACAAATTGTCATGGACATGTATCCTATGTATAATCTATGTACCAAATTTGAATGAAAACTGACAAAGCATGTCCAAAATACGACATTTTAAAAACAAGATGGCTACCAGTCGGCCATTTTGAATCGAATCACCAAACCAATGTATGTCCCACATAAAGTACCAGGCACATGCAAAGAATGAACGGAATCGGTTCAAAGGATTCTGAAATATGACTCTGGACGAATGAACGCATGGACAGACGCACGAACGGAGACTGAATTATAAGTCCCTGTTTTTGGACTTCGTCCGAACGAGGACTAATAAGGATCTGGTTGCCATAGAAACAGAAAGCTTGTGACTGATTCTTCAATGATAACTCCAAAAGCTTATCAAATTTTCATGCAATTTTCAGGAAAAGTTGCCACTGACAAAAGAACCAATCAATTAGCTTTTGGAAAGATCAGTATATGGTTGCCATGGAAACATAAGCTTGTACTGAATCGTCACTGACAACAGGTTAACAAGGATCAACCAAATAGATTTCTGGCAGAGATCTGAAGTTGTTGAAACTTTAATTTTGGGAATGACTCTTCATTGATAACTTAATAGAATATCAACAAATTTTCAGTAGAGGTTGCTCTTGATGCATGGAAAAAAAAACGATTAGATTTTGAAAGAATTAATTTTTCATAAAGTAGGATACAGGGTAATAGGTAATAGTATAGATAATAGATAATCAGCATATGTGGGGGGATTATAGCTATCAGTTTTGAAATGTGCTGTTAAATTCATTTCATTACCAACTCAGACACCCAAAATGCTTCTAGTTGGAAGATGCTCATGTGGTGACTATTGCATACTTTATACTTAATCTTAGGGACAACATCAAAAGTTTAATGTAGGATAAAAAACTTAATTCCTTTAGTTTTTTCCCCAACCCCCCTACCCCCCACTGAAACTTAATTGATAAATATTGATCACGTCGTCAGACTACATTCACCATTAAATACAAATTGATAATTGGACAGTAGTATGGCATAGCAGTTGGTTCTAGGTCCATGCCCTGAAATTGACCTCATTGGACGCACAAATTTACACTCGGACCAAACCATTTTCTCGTCTTGGATGTGTTTTTTTTCATTTTCTATTATTTTTTTCCATGATTAGATAGAAAAAAAAACGAACTACAAATACTCCATGATTTTTTTTGACATCATTAAAAAATAAAATCGTTTTTGTAGGATAGAAACTTTTTGAGGTCAACCCCCCCCCCCCAAAAAAAAAACTAAAGCAAATAAGTTTTTTATTCGACATCAATCTTTTGACATTCTCCCTTAACCATGTGTATATGCAAACTTCAAACCTGTCCAAACTCAACGCAAATACTCAGTTATTTCTCCAGAGTTTAGATCTCGATAAACTGAACCATGTGTAACCAGTTTGTAATAATACTGTTCCATAGACTTTCTTATAAACTATTTCTAGTATGACAAACACTTGTTATTTTGACATAAAAACATACAACATAGAACCGACCCCATTTTACCACAGCCAATCGAAACAAAGTTCTTGCCATTCCATAACTCAGTAAAATATAAAGATACTGTATTTGAGCAGTTGACAAAAAACAACCTTAGCAACCCCCAAATAACTCTAATCATAATGTTTGTACATGTATTTCCAAAGATGGATGAAAACCATCAGACCAAACATCACATGTATAGAGTACATGGCTGTAAATAGGCAAATGGCTGAAGAAAACAAAAAACAAAAATACTCATTGGTAGTGGCCATTAATTGGCTAATATAGCCAATGGAAGCATTTTTTTTTGGATTTGAAAGAAACGTAAGGATCTTTTTGAATAATGTTAGATAAATAATTTATAAAATGTCTATAAAACAAATTCATGCCGTCAAGAAATGCTCATTTCCATAGAGAGAATTATAATACTGACATAAACTAATATTTCTCGCTTGATTGTCATTATTATATACTTTTTCTACTCGTTCAGATTTCACTGAACTCACTCTGAACTTGTGCGCAAGAAATATATACCAGAAAACATCTGATACCAAATCTATGAAATTAAAAAACGCAGAAAGAAAAAAGCATAAAATTATGCGCTTGGTTGTTGATGTTGAAACTATATCTAACCATACGTATCGAAGTTCACAACGACCCCTAGTTTCAAGTGCAATATTCAGCTGTCAATTGTATTTTATAGTATGTGACTTATCAAGGTCACGCCTGCCGGAACTTCACGCTACTCTGTGAAGTACAAACTACAGTTTTCACTGTTCTTGCTCAAATTCCGCAAAGTCCGAGTCCCTGAATATTGTCCACAGGTGATACAGTTTTAAATAGCTGTGTTTTTACTATAACGCGTTACATTAAAAATAAACAAGATGCCACCTACCCGTTCACGCGAATACCTGGAGCAAAATCGGTTTGTTGTCCGGCCAAGGTCCATTCAACGCATGGGAGCTCCCAGTAGTAAAGGTACTTGAACTTTGGTGTAACGGGTCAAATTGCGGTCAGCGTATTGTTTAGAACGCCCTCTTGAGTCACTTATTTTAAATGGTTCTCTGTTTTCATATTTTGAAAAGTTCCAGAGACGACTGATATCACTTGCAGCATGCTTGTGTGTGTGTGTGTGCGTGTGAATGGTTGTGTGTGCGTGCTTCAATTCATACCCTCGTTTGCGTCTGACTTGACCCCCGGGGGGGGGGGATACATAGGACGTGCCCTTGAAATGGGTCTCGTTTTTTTTTTTATTTTAGGTATAATTATCGGTAATATTTTTCCCATTTGGTATACTTTAAGTGACAGAGGTGTTTTTATGATAAAAATACATATTTTAATAAATCACTGGTAGCTTCGCGGTGAGTGGCTTTCGCGGTAATTGGGTTTTGTTGTGTTAGCTATTTATAGCCTCGGGGTGCTTCGGGTTAACTCGGGGTACTTCATGGGGTTGACGCAGACGACGTTGTAACATTTGTTAGTTACCGATAATAAATCTGGATATTCACCATTATCCTGGAAGTGATCTGAGTTATTTGATAACACTACATGGTTTCGTATCTGTAGGGTTTCGAGGGGAGTAGGGCTTTGTCCCAGTAACTGGTCTTTTCATCCTTTGAAATTTAATGAAGTTTTATGTTTCTTTAACAACTGGCACTATTCTGGGAATACCATTCTAGCAGGAGTTCCAAAATAAGACCCATGCTCTGATAATGCCTCTAGTTTCAAAGACCAATAAACATTACCATTATGATCATATTGGTGTTGCAAAGGATAGTTGAATATTGTTTATTGAAATTAATAATCCCCATAACCT